TGGACTGCAGCTGTCTATAGTGCCTCCTGTAGCAGCTGCATGACAGCTACAACTCCCTGGGCTACTTCCCCATGGCCTCCTCCAAACACCTTCCTTATTCTCACCACAGGACCTTCCTCCTGGTGTCTGATAACGCTTGTGCTCCTCAGTCCTCCAGCAGCACGCCCTCTCAGCTCCTTGTGCCTCTTGCTCCCAGCTCCTCACACTTGCACCACAAACTGAAGTGAGCTCCTTTTTAAAACCCAGGTGCCCTGATTAGCCTGCTTTAATTGATTCTAGAAGCTTCTTCTTAATTGGCTCCAGGTGTCCTAATTAGTCTGCCTGCCTGAACTGGTTCTAGCAGGTTCCTGATTACTCTAGTGCAGCCCCTGCTCTGGTCATTCAGGGAACCGAAAACTACTCATCCAGTGACCAGTATATTTGCCCTCTACCAGACTCCTGTACCCCACTGGTCTGGGTCTGTCACACTATCTTGAGTGATTTTGAATTGTCTGCAAACTTTGCCATCTCTCTGTTCACCCCCTTTTCCTGATTGTTGATGAAGATACTGAATGACACTGGCCCAATTCAGATCTTTGTGGGACCCCACCATTTACCTGTCTCCATCGTGAAAGATGATCATTTATTCCTACCCTTTGTTTCTTGTTACTTTCCCAGGAGAGGACCTTCTCTTTTATGCTATGTAAAAGAAATAAAGGTAGAGATGGTTACAAGCAAATAAAAGTAAAAATATGCTTTTTAATGGCTAAGACCTAATTTCAGCAATTTTCAATCTGTGTTCAAAGTAGTTTACTCACAATTCTTCCATTCCCAGAGACTTCAACCCCTTTGGTTGAAAGACCCGTCTTTCTCAGCTTGCAAGAGCTCTGGCCCTTGTGTGTCTAGTGATGGATGGCAAGATGGCTTCTTCTCTTTCCTTATATCTTCCCAAACTCACTGTTTTGTCCTCAGATTCAGGATGACCTCATGCTGTTCTCCTCTTCCTGTGGACTTTCCATTCCCCTGGTGATTCATATGTAAATTGGGCTTTCATTGTCTTTGGTCACACTTTGCTTAATTTCCTTCAAGACAGGTAGCTAGCTGCCTTCCCTTCTGTCTGGGAGAAAACCTGTTCAACTACAGGCTGAGCAAGTGCCGAATGGTGGTGGAATGTGCATTTGGACGTTTAAAAGCGCGCTGGC